AGAGCGTACAAAACATAATGTGTTAAATACACACCAATTTTCTTCTTTAAGATTTATTTCTATGATTTTTAATTATGTATATTTGTACGTGTCTTTGTGTCCCTATGTGCACTTGAGTGCAGGTGCCTGTGAAGGCCAGAAGCATTGGATCCCCTGGAGCTGGAGCTAAAGGTGGTTGGCAGCTACCTGACACAGATGCTGGAACCAAACTTGGGTCCTCTTCAAGAGCAACACACCCAGCTTTTGACCCCGAGCCATCTCGCCAACCCCTAATTTTCTCCTTTCTCATTCTGCCTTCAAATATCAAAACATAAGAACGCTGACATGGTTTCTAGCTTCCACTTCTCAATGAATTTAATCCTGTATGTTACAAAATACTAAAACTCCCTCAAATGTTTTGCTCAGAACCATCTCAACTTTAAACCAACTAAATCAAAATACCCAATGACATTTAAATGCCTGAAGAATTAAACTAAATATTCTGGGGGATTGTTTTTTTGAGACAGGGTCTCCCTACAGCCCTAGCTGGCCTGGAACTCACTACAAAGACCAGGCTGACCTCCAACTCACAAAAATCTGTCTGCCTCTGCATCCCAAGTGCTGGGATGAAAGGTACCAGACCCAGCTTAAATGAAACATTTTGTAATGGCACTCATGAATCTCCAAGTTCTAACATCAAACCATCTTTCTGGTTTTATGTCATAATCTCCAATTTGCAGAACTGGGTAAAGGTACCTGCTGTCAAGTCTGACTAATAGAGTTTGATTCCTAGGACCTACATGATGCAAAGAGAACCAACTCTTGCAAGGTGTTCTCTGTCTTCCACATAAGCATCTGTGGTACACATGTGGATGTACATACACACACACACTGCAAAAAATATTCTACCAGTATAGTATAATGTATGGCTAAGGGTTTAATTACTAGAGCCGATATTACTAAATCCCAGCTCCAGCACTTAACTGTGTAGACAAGTTTCTTAATCTAAAACTCAAGACTCTGGACCTATAAAATACTGGCAACAACAGCATCTACTTTATTAGGCTAGTTTGAGACTTGTATCACAATTTAAAATTTTAGGTTATGAAATCCTCAGTAAGGTTGTTATTGCAGGTAACATTTATTACTTAATTAAATCTTATTCTGTATGAGATTTACAGCAACTCTGAAGAATACATTGGTTCTGGGCTGGAGAGATGGCTCAGCGGTTAAGAACACTGGTTTTTCTTGCAGGAGACCCGGGTTCGAATCCCAGTACCCACATGGCAGCTAACAACTGTCCGTAACTCCAGTTTCAGGGGATCTGACGGCCTCTTCTTGAGGCCTCTTCTGTCCTCTGCTGGCATTGCATGACATGGGTGCACTTACCTACGTGCAGGTAATACATGCATACACATAAAAATAATAAAATATTTTTAAAAAGTTAAAAAAAACATACATTGGTTCTGTGTAATGGAAATGACTCTAAACTTTTAGATGTCATAAATTTACTGAAAACAAATGTTATTCAAATAATTAAGAAATGTTTACAAAAACCAATAAAAAGCAATTTTGTTCCAAGATTAGCAAAATAACTGTATTTTGACAAAGGAAAAAAAAATACATCTATGACAGACATTTAAGACATGTACAAGGCTGACAAAGGAAAATAAAGGTAGAAAAACAAATCATAACGAAGATAACATCCGTTTATAAATGTAAATTTCCATAGAGCCACTACAGACAGTTTTCAAATATCTGGCTTTTTCAAAAGTCTTTCCCCCGCAAAGGGAAGCATTGTCAGTTATAGATTTTCATCAGAGAAAACATATCATTTCCTAATGCAGGACCTGGAAGAAATTCTCATGACCAAGGAGGAAAAGCACATGGTATGCAGTAGTTCCCAACAAAATAAGGTACTCGACACTCACCACCCCTTTCCTGCTCACCCTTCAGTCAAGGGGCCATTTGGAACCCCGATGGCCTTTTTCTGTTTAATCCTCTCAGCAATGAGAGATGTTACTGCCATTTAGTGACTGGGAAGCAGGTATGTTAAACACAATGCTTCTAACAGCTGCACAACATATTTTTCTCACAGATGGCTTTTTTTTTTTTCTTTTTTGGTCTTTTTGAGACAGGGCTCCCTGTAGCCCCAGCTGTCCTGGAACTCACTATGTAGACCAGGCTGGCCTTGAACTCACAGGGCTCCTCCTGAGTGCTGGGACTAAAGGTGTGTGTCACCACACCTGGCTCTTACTTTTAAAAGAACAAAATTGGGGTTGGAGATGTAGATTAATTGGTATACTGTTTGCCTAGCATGCATGAAGCCCTGGCTTCAATCCTCAGCATAACATAAAACTGGGTGCTTGCTATACAAGCATGATGACATGAGTCATTGGAGCAGCAAAGATAGGCAGATCCCAGGGGCTTGTTAGCCAGCCAGTCTAACTGAAAGGGCAAATTCTAGGGCTAGTGAGAGACCCTACCCCTCCAAAATATAAGGTGGAGGTGATAGAGATACCTGAGGTTGTCCTCTGCATGCCACATGCCCATGCAACCAGTAAGCACACCTGTGTACAGACACAAGTACACATATATACATATACCTACATACACCACAAAACCCAAAACAACCAAAAAAACAGGTGTGGTCAAACATGCCTGTAATCCCAGCTTTGGGAAGGTAGAGTCAGAATTATCAAGAGTTCAAGGAAATTTTCAGTTACATAGTGAGCTTGAAGCCAGCCTGGGATGAGACCTTGTCTCAGGAACAAAAAGAGATGGCAGGTATAGTGGCTCAAGTCCATAATCCCAGCACTTGGGAAGTAGAGGCAGAAGGATCAGTTCAACGTTCTCCTCAGTTACATAGCAAGCCCAAAGCCAGCCTAGG